GCAGCCGGAGATCGCAGCCGTCGGGTGCAATTAGTCGAGAGGCGATTTGGCACAGGCGTCCTCAGGCCGGGACTTGTGACTTGTGACTACGAGGATCTACGAGGGAGGAGACTCGAGGGCGAACGGATTCTCACGAGGTCCTAAGAGCCCGCGCGCGGCGCGCGTTAAGGACGCGCGGATAATAATCACGCACCGGCTTTCCGCCGCGGATCTTGAGATCGCGTAATCCGCGGATTCCGCGCGGCGGCACGCGCCGCTGGAAAACGAGGTCGATTTCGGTCGGGTATACTTTAGAATTATTTAGCCTTTTAATTAATTAGCCTTTCGATTAACGTAAGCATAACACTCTGTACGCGGCGATACAAAGTATTCCTAGTATCATAAGGAAGCGGAATAATTTTAAATATCTTGTATCATTAGATAGTAAGTACCATCAAGACGAAGATGAGGTGATTCCTGCTTAATTATTTTGTACGCGGTTTCCATACCATCGGGTCTGCGCGTCGTCTTATTTATAGTAAATTATTGTATTGTATGTCACTATTATCACTTTGTAACTATTTCAACCGTCACAGTTACGAGAAATCGTCATTTAATTTTTTATGAAGAGAATAAAATAAAGACGAGTCTCGAGAAAGAGAACGAGCTTGCTTGATGAAAAATTAGTGGTTTTTTTTTTTTAATATAACAATCAAATTAGGTAAATTTAATTTAATTTAAATACTCTTTTTTTTCCTTCTCCGTTTTGCAGTACTTGCAGTAATTATTATAAAATCTCAAAATTGCTTGTGAAAAGCAATGATCCTTTAATAGTCAAGCAATAACAATCAAATTGAGTGAATTTAATTAAATAAATCCTTTTTCTTCTCTCCCTTTTTATCCTTCCGGCAATTATTATAACATTTTGTGCCACGAGAAGAAATAAATTTGTGTAATCGATATGTAAGTCACTCTTAGGCCACCTTAAACGAATAACTAATAGCGGAATCTCATTAATAACGAGAAACGAGCGGCCTTAATTAGTCGATTCTAATGAGACGACGCTTCTGCTCTCCTTCCCTTCCCCTCGCGCCGCTCGTCCCATTTGGGCCGCGATTTCTAGGTGAATCACGTAATGTGCAGTTGCGATTAGATGACCGAAAAGCTCCAAGGCGAAGTTTCAGCGACGAAAATTGCGATTGGCCGACGTATGAAATTGACAGCGAAACAGAATGAAAATTTCCCAGGGCGAAATAAATGCGTATGGAGAATTTATTCGCATCGAATCATCCTGTAAATTGCATATCGCGCATATTAATTATAAATTCGAAGCCAGACCTTATTAATTCATTTAACATCACATTAATTCAATAATTTAACGAAGGGATTTACATTGGAGTGTAAAATTTAATATGGTTTGAGCGGCATTGCGCTCTTTGTATATCCTAATTATGGTTGAACAACTCCAGCGTTTACATTCTGACGGTGTATTCAGCGTTAAATGTGATTATTACCTTACTGTCCGCGATATTATGCGAAATAATAATCTAATTGAGGAATATTGTGTAAATTAGAATTTAGAGAGCCGAGAGAGTGGCCGAGATATATCGAAGGTGCGAAACACAGCTAAAAAGCACAGCTTTCCTTGTTGACAAGTTCGCCTTCAGTTTTTGAAAATTTTTACTTCTGAAAATCACTTTTTTATCGCTAATTTTTATTATTAACAATCAAAATTGTTGCAAAACCGCAAATTGAGCGCACGCGAGCGAGCGAGTACGCGCTTTAATCCGCCGTTTCGATTACCGTCTCGAGAAAACAAATCTGCAAAGGATTTTTTCAGGTAGAATAAGTATCACGATGTCGATCGATGTCGAGGGGATGAACAACGAGACGAACGGCCGTAAAACGCGGCTCCTACCGTTCCTTTTACTGCTGTTTGCCCCTCCGTCCGCTTATCGAGCGAACTCCCTCATTGAGTTCTTCCCTCTCCTCGCGCAATAAGACGAGAGCACGGGTGCATCAGGGAAGGAAAAGGAAGACGGAAAGCGATAATCAGACCGCGTTGAGATCCGCCTGCGGAATATACGGGGTGTCCAATCAAGCCTCCGATCTCCGATTCTCTATCGATTCTTGAAATCGATAGCTTTCGTTTTTAAATAAATCACGGAATTTCCCCTCCCTCCCCCCCCCCCCTCCAAAAATTACGATTAAGAGAAATTACTGATATTTGAATTTTTTGTTTTTCGTTTTGATTTAATGTCACAATATCAAAAGAGATTGGAAAACTTGAAGAAGATTTATCATCAAGATCATCGAACACATTTAACAATCTAAAAAAGAGTTGCGAAAGAGTTTCTCCTTTTAAAACATGTTTGTGACATGTTGAGGAAACGATTTCATTCCTATGATCAAAATAATTTACAGATAAATTATAGTACCATATATTTAGTACACACCGTATATTAGGCCGCACCGTAATTAGCTCCGTGATGCGATTTTTCGAGACGGAGTTCCCGATAACGATTTATAATTTCCCTCCGGCACGTTGATTAACCCTTTCAAGCGGTTTTTGCTCGAGTTGCACGTTCTATCTCGAGGTCTCTTTAAGTTCCTCCACGAAAGCCGCATTTCATTGACTTCAATATGACGGCTTCTTACAGAACCTTTAAGTTTAAAATCGCTTTAGTTATTTAAATGAACAAAACAAATATACATGAGTAGATCTTTACGAATTCAGCGAATTTCCTGTGCCCTCGGTTAATCGTTGAAGAAAAAAAATTTTCGGGAACACTTGTATTGAGGTTTCTAACAGGTCCATTATATAATTTAGCAAAATTACATTGTTCTCACACGGTGTCGTTGGGCCACAGATAAATATAGATAGATCGGCAGAATATCGATACTCTGCGCAAGGCATCTCTACGTGTAATCGAAATAACGAGCCTCGTGTAAACGGGGCCTCGTCGCTATTATCTCAATTATTATATCGGCTCGACCTTGGCATTGGCTCCCAATTCTTTTCGGTCGCCCGATCCCATACTGCAAGTACTCTCTCGATTATCTCAATTGCACATCGCAGCCTTTGCTCTAGCGTGTGGAGCGTTTTGCCTCCGTGCACGACGGTGAAGACTCGGAGAGGCTCGCGAGGGATAATGAGGAGATAAATTCCCGGGGCCTATTTTTCTCTTCATACACATGGAAAGAAAGCGGATTGCGCGACTCGGTCTTCTGGAGAGAGAGTTCAGTTGTTCATCATCTGATGACGTACTTGGAATAAAACTCGTTCTATTCTTCTTCTATCGTTGATATAAAAATTACTCGCGATGGATATAAAATATCATGAAAAATTGTTTATATATTAATAATGCCTTTTTTTTTTACGTATGTGTACTGAAAGAAGTACATGATAATTTCTCTTAATCTATCACAGCTTTCAAAAATTAATAAATTGATATTAATTGTTGTGTACACTGTTGCATTATTGTTGACATTTCATAATTTATGTTGATGGAAAATCATTAAATCTGCGGGAAAATTGTCGGACGTTAGATCGAGATAATTCTTCGAACTTCTTCGAGAGGGAAATTCCGATAATTGGTATTTCCTTTCTATCGTGGCTCTCTCTGGCTCCAAGAGCTTCAGCAGAGCAAATGTATGATGTCTTCCATAAAATCGCGGTTTCTTCATTACCCTCTCCCTCCCTCTCTCCCTCCCCCTCCCCCGTTCTACGCGTCTGCCTTCGAGAAGGCAATCCAGAATTTTTTTTATCCGTCAGACGTCGGTGTAATAGTCGGTAGAAGTCGTTATTCCCGAGGAGAACGAAACGATCGTAGGCACTTTTCAAGCGAAAACTATCTCACGTCAGTAACGTCGATAACACTGTGGCTGCCCGAGCTGCTCCTTTATTGGCTCTTTCGTTTCATTTCGTTCGCCAGCACTTGCCCGCATATCCCGATAATCCCGCGTTCTTCTACCTGAGCGATCTCAGGTTGAACTTTCTCGTACGTTGCGAATTTGCTATAATTCTCTAGGAATCTTCCCCCCCCTCCCCCTCCCCCCTCCCCCCTCCGTCTCCATGGCGTATCATCGTTAAGAACATCGTGCTGGTATTCCGGCTTTTGTAAGATGTGACTTGCTTTTCATGACACTTTCTGCGTTCCTCGAGGAATATATTAAGCAATGATCTTTTCAAGACCTCGGAGAATCGCTCGAAAATGCCAAATAACAAAAAAAAAGAAAAATATAATTCGCCGCACTTAAAATTATGTCTGAC